TCACATCAAAAGCAACAAATACCTTACTGTCAATAAGAGATTGCCAGCCCTTTTGGAGAAGAATGCTATGCGGGTCTCTTTGGATGCTGCTGGGAATGAAGGATCCTGGTTTTATATCCAGCCCTTCTGGAAACTGAGGAGCGAAGGTGACAATGTGAGTGAATAAAACACATTTTGGGAAGAGAGTGAGGCATTGCTAAAATAGACATGGCCATCACTCCCCTGTCCAAAGTCTTCTTAGGAATTCTTTCTTCAGCCTTCCTCCTGTATCTCCTGCTGCTCCCCAGCCCACTCCACAAATGTGCTTGAAATATGACATCATGTTCTTGGGAGTATTTTTTTTAAAAATGCAGGCGTTAGATCTTAAGAGTGGCAAACCATGAGGTGAAAATTGTTTTCTGGCCCTCTTCCTTGGGTAGATCTTGCTTTCGGAGGAAGGTGTCTGAACCTGGAATGTGTTTCTTTGAGCAGCACACCAGATGTTCATGAGAAACAGATTTATGCATGACACCTTATAGTATGTGGGACCTGTTTACTAAGGAGAGAGGCATAAGTGACAACTCCTCCTTTGAAAGTGGCTGTGGTTTTCTCAGAGACCAGTTAGAACTAGTTGTGAGACGTTGATGAATTAAAGAGGCTACATCGTGGTAGATTCTTCCTTTTGTTTATTTATGCAGTGCTTTTAAAAATAAACTCTTATGTTGTTCAGTAAAGACAGATTTACTTTTCCCAGCCCTGATGTCTGTACGTTGCTATGTAATCAGGGAAATTCCCCGAAGATATGGGGCAGAGGAGAACTCTTTGGTTCAAAGCAAAAAGTTATGACTAAAGCTGTTTTCTAAAAATAATTCAGATCATATTCTTGATCTTCGCTGAAAATAATGGCACATTGGTGCATTTGTGTCATTCACAGTTACATCTCTTTTGGGGGAAGAAAGTCTTGCTGTATTTAATGGATTTAGACCTAGATAAATGGAGATTTTTTTCTCTTAAGGGAATTAAAAAAGTGGAACTCCTGCATTTGGTAGCTCAAGGAGGGTGCCTCAATGTTGCCTCTATTTTGACCCAGGAGGAATTTTTTTTTATTTTTGGTGGGAAGGGGTATCAATTCAGATATAACTTTTTGCCTTAAACAGACTGATTTCTAAAGTTATTTCACTAATTTGTTTCATTCATAATTAAAACTGGTTTCTCCTTACACTGAATTTTGAATTACTGATTCAATTCCGCAGGTTTGTTTTGTGCAATGCTTTATCTGACCTTATCTGGCTGTAAGTAATTCTTTCGTGGAGCATGGCATGCAAAAAGTTGCTGTGTTAAGTAAACAGAGGGTCATGTTCACACTGTGGCTTTGAAAGAATACACTTCAAAAAGTGTCGCCATTTATCATCAGCATGGGGATTAGAAGCTTGAATATATAATTTCTGTCTTTAAAAGAAAACTCCGAATAAATGATCAGGAGTCTTATGGGATATGTTTTATTTGGCCTCAGTTTTCTTGGACTGAAGGTTCATTGGATGCATTGTGGGCCACGATCTCCCCAAATCTTGTGCCAAATAAAATGTCTGAGCCATTAAGGTGCCACTAGATTTTCACTGGTTGTTTTGTTTAAATCACTATCCCACCCCTTTAAAAATAAATAAGTGTAAATAATTAGTTTTGATTTCATGTAGGATTGACTATTTTACCCTCTCTTCATTCATAATTAATTGGTGAAATATTGTCACATGGCCAACCCTTTTGGAGATTAATTTTTGAGATAATTATGCTAATTTAAGAACCCCTGACTTCTGAGAAACCTTAGAGCCCATTTGTTCCCAGAAGCTTTCCACACCTCAGTAGACCACAGCGAGCGACCTTTCCCCTGTATCTAATGCTTTTTGGTGGTGCTTTTGGCTTCTGGCCCCCTGTGACTTTGCCACTGTGATGACTGACTTGTGCAGATTTGCTTGGTTGTTCCTGTTCCCTTTCTTGTATAGAGATATGTGCAGTTATTCCCTGTGCCCAGTAGCAGAAGCTAGGCTGGAGGGCTTCACTTAGGAGGAGGCAGGGCAGTAACAGAAAGAGTTAACCTGCAGAACAATATGAGTGAGTGTGTTGGGGCTCCACAGAACCTTTACTCTTAGAGTTTCTTAGGTGGCCCAAATGTGTGGAAGCATAACATTTCTGGATTGCAACTCCCAGAACTTCAGTTAGGTGATCCTGGGTGTTATAGTTTTCAAAAGCTGAGCATAACCTGAAGATTAAAAATGACATCAGAGCCTTCCTCTTAAACCCTTAATGGAATTCTTTCCACTGGTCAAACAGCAGTTAGTGTTTGGCAGTATTTAATCAGTTGATGGGCATATCACTAGCTATACGAGGGGAAGAATTGTTAAGCAATAATGATGCCTCTGCATGTGTTTCAAAGAAAGCATGTGCTACCCGCTGTGTTCACCATTTTTATCATGCACTTTGTTTTTCTGACTTGTGCCTGTCTGTATGGAAGTGTTGTGTATGCTGGAATGTACACTGAATTGCTGTGGACATTACTGGCACGTCTGTGATTAGATCAGATCTTGCCAAATCATCCTCCACTGTTCCTTGTAACACCCCCTTTCATCCTTTCAGTTAATTCATGCAATGCAGAATTTTTTTAAAAAAGATGAGAGGCAATTTTAGGGGTTAATTTTCTTGAAACCACGTCTTGCTTATCTACTACCAGAGGATTAGTGAAGCTAGCAATGGAACTCTCCTGACAAGTGGTGCGTGTATATATTTATTTGGGACATTTCTCCACCTGATGTTCAGCCAAAGGGCTTGTAGAGCAGCCAACGAAGTTTAAAATGCAATAAAACAATAAAATCAATACAATAAAAACAGATGCAGCAGATCAGTGCCACACCAAGTTAAATAGCAGTAGAAAAAGATAAACCTCTAAAAAAGGCATGGGCAGATTATAGAAAGACAACAAACTGTGATATAAAAGGAAGCCCAGAAAACTAACAGCATTTTTGTCATTGATTTTAGTGAAATAGTCTGGACCATGTAGGCACATCTGATTTTAAGATTAGAGAGGAATCCCCAAGTTTGATAAGCTGCCATTATGCAAAAAATAGTAGTGAAAAAGCAGCTGTAAAGGCAGCGTTGGAGAAACATAAATATTTTTAATTTGTTTGAGGTCTTCTTTTTCTTTCTTTCTGAAAACCATGTCTGGTTGTTGAATATATGACCAGTTTTCACAATAACAGATTAGCATTATGTAGGAACTATTACATTAATTTGAATTCCTGGAAATATTCTGTACTTTCAAATTACGAGCTGAACTGCAAATTCTGTTCCGTACATTTAATAGCTCCCCCCTCAACCACTTAAGAAGAAAAGGGCCAAAGAATATGCATAACCTAATATATAGAGAAAAATTGAAGAATTTCTTCAGTATCAGAGTCTTCATATTCCAGTGGTTTTGGAAGAGGTAGCTGTGTTAGTCTATGCAAGCATATCAGACAAAATCCAAAGAAACAAAACAAAACAAAAACATGTGGCACCGTAAAGACTATTATATTTTAATGTGAGCTTTCATGGACACATCAGTTTTGTCAGACACATGAAAACAGAACGAAATGCCTGTTTTCTGACTCCCTGGAGGAATGTTTACAAGGGAGCCATAAATTACTTCATGTAGATGTACCTCACACTTAAGACTCCTACAGCAAATGAATATTTAAAATTGTCTATTTGTAAAACTGATATTTCATCCTGCATTTCATTCTGTTTTCATATATCTGCTGAAGTGGACACATCCACAAAAGCTCCCATTAAAATATAATAGCCAGTCTTTAAGATGCCAAATCTTTATATATATATTGTCTTGGGTTTTTTTTTTTGTTTTTTTTTTTTGGATTTCGCCTGATACTCATATTCCAGAACTTTCTGTATTGTGGGATTTATCTAGGATTGAAAAACAGTATTTTAGATTTATTTGTTATATTGAGATATGTTGTCTCTTTAAAAAACAAAAACAAAGAAGATGTGGGAACTAAAATATCGCCAAAGTGAAGAGAATCAGAACATAACTGATCATTTTTTACTCCTTTAAAAACTCCTCCAGATCGTTGTTGGTGACAAAGTTGTACTAATGCCAGTCAATGCAGGACAACCTCTTCATGCCAGCAACATAGAACTCCTGGATAATCCAGGGTGCAAAGAGGTGAGTTTGACCACAGCAGATATATCTGACTCGGCCTTTACTGGTGTTTTGGAATGTAGTGACACCATGCAGGATTAGGATGCCAGGTAAGTAGCAGTCTGAGATGAAAGCATAGGGAGCCTTGATATGATCATGTGACAAATGGGGTCAAGAAACTAGAGGTTATGTTTCAGATAGCCCATTAAAAAAAAAAAGCAAAAAGCAAGCAGGTGTTTAAGGACTGAAACCTGGCCTCTGGAACTGATCACAGCTATCTTGTATCCAAATACATTAGAACCTCCTTTTCTCCTTCTCTGGCTAGTTGACACTTTATGTGCGTGCGTGCGTGCGTGCGTGCGTGTGTGTGTACACACTTCACACACACACACTCTCTCACCCCTGCTGAGGGAACATTACATTATAAAGAACTCAAGATTACCATGAAAATTGGCAACTCATGTTGAGTTCTGTTCCTCCTTAATGGGTAATGTGGTGTAACTCAGAGATCCGTGGCCTGGTGCCGGTCTGTGACCTCCTGCCCCCCTGCACACACTTCCCCCCACAGCTACTTTGCGCACGTGTGCATGTGCCAGCACCACTGTGAGCGCTGGCCCACTGCTTTGCACATGCGCCCAAGTGTCTGATCGTGCGTGCGCATACCTGCGGGGGGACCTGACTTCCTCGGAGGCTTAGCCGGTCCACAGTCCCAAAAACGGTTGGGGACTGCTGGTGTAACTCATGTTCTCAGCTCTTTCCAGTTTGTGTTACTTCACTCCTATTAGAGACAACCTATGATATGAAACCGAGAAATGGAATGTAAGCCTAATTACATCAGGACATGAGGTCATCATAGTAAGTGCAGAGGGAGTAGAGAATTTGACATTGGAATGCCATTTTTGATGGCAGCCGTGTGCCTTTTGTCATGCTTAGTTTTGGCCTAAAACAGCTTGCTTTTCCACGTGAAGGACTGAAAAGCTAACCAGGATAAGATTCTAGATTAGAGATGCGGGTATTTGTATACAAATATCCCCTCCCCCAGGTGGAAATAACACCATTCTGCTGCTGACGCCAGCTTGAAGGTGAAAAACCTGCAACCTGCAGAGAGGCTTGTCATCCTGCCTCCTGCCAAGAGTGGCTAATCCATTGTGGACAGCGGTGAGATAGGAAGGCTCAGTCAAGCTGGCGTCAGCAGCGGAATGGTGAGTGGACATTATTTCCACCTGTGGGGGATATTTGTATTCGTATAAAAATATGAATACCCTCATCTCTATTCTAGATGCAACTAGGTCTTCTTCCACTGAAGAAGCTGGACAAGCTCTTTCTAGGATTAGCTGCAGTTTTTTTATTCTCTCCGAGAACGGGCTGGGTAGGCGGCGGGGGAGACTACCGGCATCGGAGAAGCTCCCCGGTCCACCCCCCAGCCTGTTCTCCTCCAACATCATATTTTGAATGAATTTTGTTTCATGTCAGCTTTCTTCATTGTCCAGTTTTCATATCCATACATAATTATTGGAAATAACACAATACGGATGAACTTGTCTTTGGCCTGCAGCAGTACATCATCCCACTTGAGGATCTTTTCTAGTTCTTGATAGCTGTGATTCTGAGTTTCAGTGTTCTGATTCTTGACTACAGCCTACATTTGGATCAGTGACTGGAAAGTATAGAATATCTTTTAAAGATTTTGAGTTCTTCATTGCCAGAGTTAAAGTTATATAATTCTTATGTACTCTTGCATTTTGTTTTCTTAATGTTCAACTGCTTTTGCACCCTTGTTTTTCACCTTCATTGTTGAATCAATGGTGGATAAGCAAGCCAAGTAAGTAAATGCCACTGAGTCAATGGGTATAACCTAGTTGGGATTAGCAGTAGCATAGTGGCTGCAGTGATTTAAAAGCATAGTGACTTTTGAATGACTATTGATTGACTTAAAATGATAAAGTTGCATTGCATTTAAAAATATTATTTTTGAGCCTGAATCTGAAAGACTTAACACGCTCTCCCAATCATTTCTTAGTACCAGACATTTCTGTTGATGGGAAAGTGAGGTTTTGGGGAGATAATTGCCAAAATTCTGTTGCTTACATAGTAAATTGCACTAGAATTGGCCCATTGAATTGATGGGGGTTTGGTGAGTCAAATCTTTTATAAGTTCCATTGATTCAAATAGGTCTACTCTAGTTGCGGCTTACTTTACCATAGTAAATCACAATAAAAGTAGATATGTTTGAATCAATGGAATGTGTAGAGGAGTTGGCTCACAAAATGCCTATTGATTCAATGGGCCTACTTGGGTGTGATTTACAACAGTAAGCAACAGAATTTTGGCCAATATCATTGTGGTTATCTTACCAACAGTAGCAGAGATGAAAAGTTCATAATGCCCGAGGGAATCTGGAAGTTGTACTGTTTTGATCTTCAATTCCCATAATCCCCTGGCCATTATGGCCTTGACTGTGCCATTATGGGAGTTCTGCAAATTTCCCTGTCTCTGCACAACAGCTATAATAGTAAGTGTTGGCAAATATCTTTTCAAAATGGTAAAATTGGCAAAACTTTGGTGTGTGAATCTTCTGCTACATAGACCCTATAGTTCCTTATATGCTTGACTGCAGGTAAATGCTGTTAATTGCAACACCAGCTGGAAAATAACCTTATTCATGAAATACAGTTGCTACAGAGAAGATGTGCTTAAAGGTGTAAGTATGAACAATGTTTAATTTTTTAAAAAGTATTGCATATCAGTGATTGTTTGTATCCTTTTGGTTATTTTACAGCAACTGGATATATTATGGATCTTGTTGCTTCAGTCAGACCTGCTTTTAAATATGACACAAGCACACACACACACACACACAGTTACCCTTGATATTAACCTGTTCATCAGTCACAAAAAATGCTTATCTCTTGATATGCGACCAAATGGTCTCCTCCCCCTCTTCTTCCTTTCAATGGCATTTTAGTTGTTATAAAGAGCATAGGCCAGATCTTGGTTTTAGTTGCACCAAGAAAACCTCAATGAGGATCTGAAAGTTTAGAGCTCCGAATGGGATCGAGAGATGTATTTGCAATGATAAGTCAGCAAAGCTTCCCTTTTGCTCACTTTCTTTCTTGCATTCAGGGAGATGTTGTCAGGTTGTTTCATGCTGAGCAGGAGAAGTTCCTGACCTGTGATGACTATCAGAAGAAACAGCATATCTTTCTTCGCACAACATTACGTCAGTCAGCTACTTCTGCAACAAGTTCCAAAGCCTTGTGGGAGATAGAGGTAATGGGCAGAAGGGGAGTGGGGTATTCTGACAATATTTAGCTCTTTGAATGGTGGGGATTTTTGAGCTTTCTTTTTTTGCACTGTTGCCTTATGTTCACGTGCTAATGGTGTTATGAACGTATGAATGTTGTTTGCATAGGTGGTGCATCATGACCCATGCCGTGGAGGAGCAGGGCAGTGGAACAGTCTATTCAGATTTAAGCATCTGGCAACTGGCAACTACTTGGCGGCAGAGGTATGCGCCACTTTTTCTTGAATGCAGAGGAGAACCTATAATGTTGGTGAACTGAACAGATTAGAGGTCCTGTTCTAGAGGAGTTTTCAGTGGGCTCAACATGGCATATAATTAGGAAGTCAGATTGCTTGGTGATCGAGCCATCTAGCTATTCATGTAATGGGCTCTCTAGTTTTGAAAGAGAATAATCAGGGTTTATTCAGCATGGTTCTATCCTGTGTACAGTCCCTCATGTAAAGGACCATCTGGTCCTTTTTCTCGAAGCAGCTGTGCTATTTGAATTACATAGGAATTGTCCCGTAGGTCAAACTACCAGATTCTGCACTATAGATTTTGATATTTGCTTCACTATCCAGGTGACTTGAGGCTTGATCTGATGTATTCAGTGTCTATTCTGTAGCCTTTTCTTGCTTTTTTTTGGGGGGGGGGGAATATCTGCTGAAGACATAGTTAACTCTATTCTGGGGTTTAGTCCTGGGGATGCTGTGGCACTTTCAAGCACTGTGGTGCTTTCAGTTGAAAGTTTGTATCCTTAACATTTGTGAAAGCTCCAGAAGTGAAGCTCCAGCAGGGATGTGGATTTCCAGGGGTTTCCAAATCATTTTCAAAGACATAGCTTTTTATAGTCCAGTTTGGATGCAAATAGTTTGGATCCCATTAAATCCCGCTCTCCCTTGTGACAAGCCATGGCCACCCAAAGCCCATTGGAATGGATCTTTGGCTCCTTCTGGATAAGCCCTTAATGTGCCTCTGCAAAGAGAGTGAAACTATCCTGCTTCTTCTGCAGGAAACATGTAAAATTGCCGGTGCCTCGGAATGTCAAGTATTGCTTTTCCATTCACTCAGTTGAGGAACTGATCCTTTTCTGAGCTGTGAAGTACATATATTTAAAACATTTTTTCATGGAGTGTTCCTGGGTGGTGGTGGGGTGGATGCAGCTGTTGAAGTGCCCATTCGTTTCCACATTGACTTCAAAGTGTTAATGATGACGGTCCTAAACGGTTTAGGACCTCGATACCTGGCAAAATGCCTTCTCCCACCTAGATGTACTCGAGTCACTCGCCAGAGCCAGGAAAGACAGCTGAGGGGCCTGATGCCGAGAGAGGTCCAAAAAGAAAGAACAAGAAACACGGCCTTCTCGGTGGTGGCCCCTCGACTTTGGAACAGCTTGCCGCCAGAGATCTGCCTGGCACCCTCGCTGGATGTTTTTAAGAGTCAATTAAAAACTTGGCTCTTTAGGCAGGCCTTCCCTCCTGCCAATTCTTGGTTGTACTTTCTTGGCTTTTGTTGGTTATTCTCCCATCTTGATCATATTATTGTAGATTTTAATTGCTGTTTTATTTGTTTGTGCACGATATGTTGTGAGCCGCCCTGAGTAGACTCCTGTCTAGAAGGGCGGGATATAAATCCAATAATAAATAAAATAAAATAAAGTGTGACATGAGGAGGAAGCTGAATATGGTTGATTCAGTGCTCAGACTGTTTGCTGGAGATTTTTGGTGCTCCTGGGCTTTTGGTAGAGCTGTTGTGTCCACATTTATCCAATAGGTAAAAGGCTGCTTTGCTTTTGAACCACGTTAAGGGTGTCCAGTAATGTCTATCAATCTTTTCTTTGCTATCTCCAGATTTGTGGTGGATCGTGGCTAGAGATGGGCACAAATTAAAAAACAAATGGTAAAATTCATTAAAAATCGCAAATTCACTGATTTATACTCACCAGAAGCAATACAAATCAATGAATGTTTAGCGATTTTCAGTTTGTTGTTTGGTTCATTCGTCAGGCTCCAGGCAACTAGAGACACCAAAATCACAGAGATGGTTCTACTGACTTTCCTGTACAATCCTTCCAAGTTTGGTGAAGATTAGGTTTTCCCCAAGACAGCTGTTAAAGGGCACTTTCCTGGGGTGACTCACTTTGTGGGTGTATAACATGGATGTCCAAAGCCCAATCTTCACCAAACCAGAAGGGATTGTACAGGAGATTTGGGATAGGTTTTTCCATGATTTTGTAGTCTCTAGCTGCCTGGAGGGCCATTTTACAAGGTTCTAGTCAAGATGAATTGATTCGTCAATTCATCAGAAAAAAATCATAAGTTTGTGATTTGTGACTTTTTGACTCTGACAGATTATGAATCACGGTGAATTGCCATTTTTTTCCAAGTTGTGCTCATCTCTAATTGTGGCTGATGTTGGGAAAGTGTGAGGGTAAGAGGAGAAGGGGACAACAGAGGACGAGATGGTTGGACAGGGTCATCGAAGCTACCAACATGAATTTGACCCAACTCCGGGAGGCAGTGGAAGATAGGAGGGCCTGGCGTGCTCTGGTCTAGGGGGTCACAAAGAGTCGGACATGACTTAATGACTAAACAACAACAACAAACTACATTCACACACTGGTCACGTTGGCTGGATAATGTTAGGAGCTGTAGTATAAAAATAGAAGTTTTCCAAGTTGTAGACATGAACATAGCTGTAAATATTTAAGTCTTGTGGATTGGATGTAAGCCTACTTTGGCTGTGTGCAAATATTTTAGTGTTCTTGCCTTTGAATATTTGATATACACATAATCAGGTATACATCCCTGCCTTTTTGGAAGACATATGCTAAGAAATAAGAAGCCATGGCTGGGCTTTTGACAAGCTCTTCATCTTTCTTTGCTGTTAGACACAATGTAATAGAGCCAGAAATTAGGGTAGAATTGAATTCAGACATGGCCCACAGGCTTAACCCCTAAATATGTCTGCCACATTAATGTGTGAATAAGGATTCAAGTGAATGTAATTTTAATAACTAAAGGAGTGTACAGCAGAAGGAAAATGAACCGTCCCCACTTTTTTGATCACCTTTCCCTCCTGTAGTCCTATAGGCACAACTCTGACCCCCAGAGATATCTGGGGTGATGTACCATCAGGAGTTCAGGTGGAGAGGAAGGAAGGTTTTGCTCCCCAAATTGCTTGACCCTTCTGATGTTAACATTAGATTGTATCCCCTGCTTTATATGATGGCATGAAAGCCTTGTTTAAAGAAAAGCTGCTGCCCACTTCTGTTCACAAACACAATATAATGCAAGGTAAATCCTCTCAGACTGCTTTCCTTTGAGTTGCTTTATCTGAACCAGCATCTAAAATAATCTTCAGCCTTGACAGTACAGAAATGGCCAGGGACTCGATGTTTTCTTCCTACAGAGGGAATTGTGAGCTTTGCTTTAGTTTCTGTAACTTCTTCTCCATTACATCTTTAGACAGTACAGTATACAGATAGCATTGCTGTAACATTAAGCCTTCTCCCTCCCCAATCCCACTTTTTATAACATAATATCTAACAAAAGGACAGGTCACCTTGAAGGCTTGCAAAGAGAACCTGGCACCTTTTTAGTTAGCCTAATAACAGTGTCACCATAACATGGATTTTTTTGTCTATGGAGAGCTAGACTGGGAGTGATTTGGAGATGCAAAGTTTTAGCACTAGCATTTAAGAAAAGTTAAATTCCACCACACAGCTAGTGCTGGCTGAGCTGAATTATTGCTCAGAAGTTGACGTATTCAGAGATGTTGTACAAAATAACACAAAGGCAATCTAAAAGAGAAAATTAGAGATACTGTACATGGAACAGTCAAGTTGCCTTTTCTGTATCATAGACTGGTTTTGTGCTATTGTATTTCCCTGAAAATAAGACAGGATCTTATATTAATTTTTGCTCCAAGAAACACATTAGGGGTTGTTTTCAGAAGACATTTTTGTTCTTGTTGTTTTTCATGTACAACCATCTACATTTATTCAAATACAGTCATGTCATCTTCTTTTGGTTGCTGCACAATGGTGGAGGGTGGGGTTTCACTTCACGGGGGCATATTTTGGGGTTAGGGGTTATATTACGAGCATCCTGAAAAATCATACTAGGGCTTATTTTCAGGTTAGGTCTTATTTTGGGGGGAAACAATCTGTTTTTATGAAATGATAAACTATTGTTAATCCTCTAGCTTGGAGGGTTAACTTTCAGCAGTATTTAAAGTCCTTATCTAGAGCTTTGCCAAATGTTGGAAATAAAAGTTTTTTGGCAAGAAAAAGGGTGCATTTTTGATGGCAGTAATATTCCCAAGCTCCCCATTTATTCTTTATTGTACCTATTCTTGCATGTTGTTGCTGTCAGTTGGTTGCTGATTCCACAAAATGATCTTTTCCTTCCTGCCAATAGTGACATCACATCACTATATTTGTTATGATGTTATAATTGAGATCGAATAAAGCACAGCACAATCCATCCTCTGATGGAACCCTTTCTACTTGAATTCTGAGGTGTGTCGCCTACAAGAAACACAGTTGTAATGAACACTTCTGCATGCTCTTAAGCCTCCATAAACATCAATGGAAGATTTGTGCTTAACCTCACCGCTTATTTTATCTCAGTTCTACTCTCTTCTATTTCATCAGTTAACACCATATACTGGTTATTTGAAATGTTATTCATTACACATTTGCAACATGTACTATGATAGCAAGAATCCTATCACATATTTACACCATCAGAACTTGATCAGCATAAATCTCCATGGCAAAGTGCCACAAGGAAGTCAGCAGAGGTGTTTGTTGTTGCATGCCAAGTCATGCTCAGCTACACCACAAAATATCCCATGATGTATGCTGCATTTACCACAGTCAGTTTCAATATATTTTCTGTGGGCTACATTACATAAAGCTAATTGTGAGTATCCCTTGTCCATTTCCATGGCCATTCACTTTATTTTGCTCAGCTGATAGGAGTATGATTTTTCTGTGGTGATTCCCCCACGTGTTGCTTTTCCCCCAATTTTTGGCATGTGTGATGGCCTGCATCAATCTGAAGGGGCACTAGTGGGTGTGTCCCAGAGTGACACTGATGGTGATGTTTTCACTGGAGTGTGGTGACCAGAACATCTCCCTCTAGTGAGGACCTCTCTTATTTCAAAGGGAAGTATTTTTTTTTTAAAAAATGCTTGGTTTGGTCAGTTATAATATAGCA